ATTCCATTAATGAGATTAGGGTTTACATATAGTTTACATGATTTACCTATCAGATAGTGCAGTATTCAAGAGCCCTTGTCTCATTGAAGTATTGTGCATGAATAATTCCCTGTTGTGGAGGGCTAACAAAGGGGTTAAATGGTGTTGCTCCTGAGTACGAAATCAGGTCGAGCTAAAAATCCGCATTGCACGCAGTGTCAACACACAATCACGTCTACACGCACGCACGCTGAAGTATGACTGAGATAATCCGTATCGCCTGCATAGGCTCTCGGGGAAATGCTATTAGCTAGCGCCTATTAAAGCCGGCACAACGCACACAGAGGGTGGTATGGCCGGCACAGCATCCATCTGCTCTCGTCTGCCCACCGCAGATATATTCTTACACGCCATAGCAGGTGCTCGTTTAAGGCTGAGCCGACCTAGGCGAGGCTCAGGACCAGTTCTGCTAACGCTCGCCACTGATGTTAGCGCAACGTGCGAAACACAGTTTCCCACAAATGCACCGATGCGCGTACATACATAGAGACGTGAATTCATTAACCCACACATATCGCTGGAAATAGACACGCATTTACACACGGGGATATAAACAAACTGGGACACACACATTCACATCGGGACATGCCCATTACACGGACACACGTAATTAGGTATTGACACACAAATAATCTCCATGCATGCAGTATTTGTAACCGTATTGGCTGTTGGGGCAAATGCCGTGATAGTGAGCATCTATTTCGTCCGACACAGCCAATGAAGGGGTTTGCGTGGCGAGAATGCTTTGGCTCCTCGGTGCTGATTTAATATGTAATGGAGCTCTCAGAGACACCGTCTTGTTCAGTTATATGTATATATATTGTGAATAAAGTCCGCCGACTCACTGCTAATTAAATGAGTAACCGCGTGTTGACTATATACACAGCTGGGTAACTTCTGTGACTCTACGCGACGCTCCCCACGTCGTTGGCTGGCTACACAGGAGCGGATGCGTAGTAGTCACGGAGACAATATTAACTCTCGCCTTGCAAGGCTACAAGGTGCCCGATCCAAGACGATGAAGATGTCAAACTCTCAGTTCTTTCGGTAAAGTCACGTAGGTAAAAAAAATGAAATTTAAAATAATAAAAAATAAAATAATAAAATCATGACGTTTCAGAGGCAACACAAGTCTCCGTCATCAGGTGGGACCGTCACAGCCAGATTTGCTGCATCACTTGATGCAGCAAATCACTTGATGCAGCAATCTGGCTGTGATGGTCCCACCTGATGACGGAGACTTGTGTTGCCTCCGAAACGTCGTGATTTTATTATTTTTATTAATTTTTTATTTCATTTTTTTTACCTACGTGACTTTACCGAAAGAACTGAGAGTATGAATCCTTGCAGTCACGAAAGCTTCAAATCTAGAACGATGAAGATGACCCGCTCCAAGATGACGACGGCGGTGATGACAGTTTCCTGGTTCCTCCACAGCAGCCCAGAGCCCCGTTCCACGCCGGCTTTTATCCACTCCTCGACCCGGTCACTCCCATTATCCCCGAACACTGTCTCACCTCATCTGGGTCTGTCTGTCCCTGTCTCAGTTGTTATTCACGACCACTTAGGTCCCGTGCTATCCTTACGCGACCCTGTCAGTGTCCACATTTGCATCCTTATTTACTTAATCTCTTGTAATTAATCTTGTAACTGTCTCCGGCAAAATCTGGGTTAATTAATCTTTGCACCATTGCTGTTCATGCTTTTTCCTCGTCCGATCCAACTTCCTAAATAAATAAAACTTTGGATCGATCCATTCTGCATTTTCTGACTCCTCGTCATATCTATCTTGTTACTTTCTCAGTGCAATCTTGGTGCAGCTGTTTCCATCCTTGTAAATTGTGTTTTAATCATGTCTAAATGTTTAATTTAGGCTGAATGTAATTACTAATAGCCAAAGCATGAATGAAATTAACATTGCCGTTAAAAAATGATGAATCACTGTAATAATGAGTCGAGTGAGCCAGAACACATCACTCGAAGTGGTGACGACTCAATGGCCACGAAGCGCCTCCGGTTAGCACGGTTGGCTACGTAGGGTGCGAAAGAAGTTCACCTTACGTTTTTTGAGAGGACGCCTCCCCAGTCCCGGATTAAGCTCGTGCGGAGGCCTGTAGCATGATGTTATAAAGGGGCCCTAAATGTAAAAAAACACAAATATTAAATCACTGTTTTTACTTGCACAGTAAAGTAATTGTATGTTTTCCATTTGCTATACAGCCAGATATTACGACAAATCGCTAACCTTAAACACCCAGTCGTTCATAAAATTTGAAGGCAGTATAGTACTATAGTAAGAGCAAGTGCAGAATCATTGAACCGGAATTGAAAGCTTGAAAGCATTCCGGCACTGCACCTCCCTGATGAGATGGAGCGATTAACATCGTGTTGTGTGCAGGTGCTAGGTAGATAATTACATCACAGCATCGTGAGAGATTGGCAGTGGCATGCAGAAGCCTTCATTTCGCAGTGGAATGCCCATGCCGTTGATGATGATGATTATTAGTATGATGGTAATGAATCCACGTTTTTCTCCCTTTAATTCACATTATCCGCAGTATCAATGTGAGCACTGAATGCGTTTTGCGAGTGTCATTGCAGCATTATTGATGGGCACTTGCAGTGTGTGGAATCTAAGGAGTATGTGTTCATTCATTTTCCGTCACTATTTTTTTATATCGTCGATAGGGATAATCCATAGCGGTGGAGTGCATATTGGTCGCCAGGCGCATTAGCAAACGAACCCCAGACATTATTCACACGTACTGTACGCATTGCATACACACACACAAACACACTCAAATACTGACGCGCATGCACACACGCGCATTCATAAAGCTCACGTACAAAGACAACGACCCCCCGTATAGCCTTAACGGACTGTTGGGGCAAGTGCTGTTAGCGAGCACCTATTAAGTCCAACGCGGTGGAGCCAACACCACGCCCGACCTCCTTTGTCTCTCTGAGCTCGGGTATACTCATTTAAGGCTGAGTCGACCTAGGTGCGGCCAAGGTATTCGTTCGTGAGCGATGTTGATTGCAAGCGAAAATCAAACTCGGGTTGTCGGGGTTCGTAGCGCAGAGCGCCAACCACTTCACTACCCCTCCCAAGAGGCACACACACAGCCAAAGATGTCCCGTATAGCCTTAACATCGTGCTGGGGCAAGTGCTGTTGGAGCGCACCTAAACCAGACCACACAACACAGGCGGCTGCTGCCTGCTGTGGAAATTCGTGTGTCTCGCACACACACACAGACACACATACAAAGACAAAGATCCCCCATATAGCCTGAACAGACTGTAGGGGCAAGTGCTGTTAGCGAGCACCTATGACACACACACAGACACATACACACACAGACACATACACACACATACACACAGACACACACATACAGACACAGACACACATACACACACATACAGACACATACAGACAGACACATACACACACATACAGACACATACAGACACATACAGACACATACAGACAGACACATATACACACACACAGACACACATACACACACAGACACACATACACATACACACACATACACACACACAGACACACACATACACACACAGACACACACAGACACACACACACACAGACACATACACACACATACACACAGACACATACACACATACACACAGACACACACATACACAGACACATACACACACAGACACATACACACACACACACATACACAGACACACACACGCAGCCACAGGCAGCCACACACGGAGAGCCACCGCGCAGGGCAGAGCAAGCAAGAAGCACCTGAAGGAAGGAATCCCCCCCACCCCTACCAACCTCATCATCATCCATGCATCTCTCCTCCTCCTCCTCCTCTCGGGGCACAAGCGGACAACACGATCAGCTGAGCGACCATTCTGTCTAGAGCCAAGCGACGTCGCGTAGCAATTATTCGAGATACTTTACGATTGCATTGCGTGCGATATAGCCAAACCCCCCTCCTCCTCCCGCCCCATCAGCAATCCCCTGCTACCGCCTGGTATTTGTGGAGCGATGCGATACAAATCGTCTTCTGCAGCAGCGTGTGCCGTACGACGATGATGATTATGAGAGCATCCGTCCGCGAGACGGGGAGAAGAGAGACGTGATTCCTGTTGTTAATCGCTGCGGTCGTTAGCCATCGTTTCGGGGGGGGGGGGGCGCGCTGCTGAGGCTCTTACCGGTCGTGTTCGGTGCCTGTGTCTCGTGTAAGCGATGCTGTGATTAATATTACTGCTACTACTGCCGCTACTGTTGGGATCGCAGCGTTCCGGCGCGTTGGTCATAAGCTGACGTCGGTGGCGTTAATAGGCGTTCGCTAACATCGCTTGCCACCGCCTCGATACGGTGTGGAACGGCTGGCGTGGCTGGTCTAGGATCATGTCTTTATAGCTGGATCTAGGCGTGCGCCGATGCATGTGCGTTCGTGTAGCCACGGAGGAGTGAGGTTTAATAGGCGCTCGCTGACATCGACTCACCGCCGGCATAGCGAGGGGCTTTTTACGCGGGGCATCGCCGTGGGTGTTTCCTTTTTGCTTCGCTGTCGCTTGGACTGAATGGGTCGCCAGGGCCGTCTGACATAGGCGCTCGCGAACACCGCCTTGTGCATGGACAGCCCCCCGTAGACGCGCGCGAGAGAGGAGAGAGAGGAGGGAGAGAAGCCACCGTGCGCTTTTGGTGTGACGGTGCAGGGGTGGACGTGGTGTGGGGTTAGTTGGGTGGGCGAGAGCTTCTTTCTTCTTGTTGTTGTTGATAAGAGGTGCTCGCCAACAGCACTTTTGCCAACAGTCAACACGGGGGCGCCTGAAGTGGTGGGGGTGGGGTGGGGGGACAATCGTCTTTGTATATAGCTGTACATATATGTTACACGTGTGTGCGCGCGCGCGTGTGTTCTGCACGCCGTTGTAGATAGACAGATATAAGGCATCTATAGAGAGAGAGACATCTGTAATGCAGGCACCGCGTGGATCGTTGGAAGAGATCAGCAGGATGGTGGAAGCCCAGGCGAACGTTATTGAGCAACAGCAGCATCGCCTGCAACATCTGGAACGAATCGTGTCTGAATTTCGCATAGCTTGTTCGGCTGGAGACAACAGCAGCAACCCTGCTGATGACGATGATAATGATGGTGACGGTGGTGATGATTGTGCCGCTGCTGATCATGATGAGGCTCATGGTGGTGCTGCTGCTACTGATGAAGGAGGAGGTGGTGGTGGTGGTCGTGGTGATAATAACAATGATGATGGCAATGATGATGATGATGGCGGTGAAGATTCAAGCTGTGCCTTGGTTCACGACGGAGTCGCCCGGAACAGTGCAACCACAGAAAACGCCACGCTGCCCTCCTTCCAGCGACTTAAACCCGAAAGGTAGGCACGCACAAGTTTGATTCCAGCACCGGGTTCATCGTTGCCATTTATTGTGTCGTTATTGTCGGTGCGAAAAGTGCAAATTGAAGGGATCCCATTGTTACCACTCGCTGCATCAGTCTTGAGTGGTCGATACAATAGAGTCGGTCGTAGAAGTATGGATGGTCTGACTCCGGCCACGGTAATGTGTAATGTCCACCACTGCCATGGTATACGGGGGGCGTTTGAAACGGCGAGGTTGTTGCGATATCACTTTAATATCAACACATCGGCAGCGGCTTTGTGAGCGTCTAACCATGGACCATTCAGTTCCCAGGAGCAGCGGTGAAGTACAATCGTAGGAATCTTAAACGTTCCTTATCGTGACCTCAAGCAAAGCGGTGTTGTATGACACCTGTTTGCGGTGCTGCGTAAACACGACATCTTTTGTTTTTATATAGAGCACAGTCGTGAGCATTTCTCCAGGATAAATAAGGATTCTGATTCTGCTTTGTATGTGTGCGTGTCTTTGTGCGTGTGTGTGTGTGTGTGCGTAAGCGGGGAGCGGTAGTGTAGCGGTTAGCGCGCTGTAGCGGTTCGCGCAGCCGTCACAGGGGATCTTTGTATTTATCTATCTTTGCTTTGTACTAGCAATTGATGTCTATAAAGCGAGTACCACTTGAGCAATCGAGCAGTAGACTCCACACCTGCCCATAGGAATGTGGAATTTCCACCGCTGGCTCAGATCTGTAAATGGACACGTTCTCGTTTCGTGAGTGCGGTTTCTCTGGGTGCTGCAGTGTCCTCTCAAACGTTGGCGAATGGAATTGGCTAAACTTGCAAATTACAGAAACCCTCCTTGGAGAGTTTCTTGAACACCGTCAGAGGGCTTCGCTGGATAGACAATGAATACGAATAATATAAGTCGAATTAACTACAGTTATTATAAAATGATAGAAAACTTTTTTTTAATACCATAAGATAATTTCTCTGTAAATAAAAATGCAGCAATAAAATTGAAAACTTATTAAATTAAACTTTTAAACCAATGATGGCCTTCATTCTCGTAAAGTGAATTTAGTCAGGGCTTAAAGTCAGCTGGAGCTGCCCAGCCATTATCTCTGCAAAATATTAAAATTTGAAATTAAGCTGAGCGTTTATTTTAGCGTGCATGGCTATTAGGCCTCACTTTTTCACGCCCCAAAATCTTACAAAAGAACAGAGATGATGCTCATTCAGCAATAATGCTTTATTGTTCTTTACCCAAGACTGCCTCACTGGGAAGTTGTTTCATGAGGGTCTTGGCATTGTAATGTTTGACCAATTTATCCTTGAGCATTTACTCTGCATGCGGAAGAAAATTGGAAGTTCGCGGGAAATTACCTGAACAATTTGGGTCATACTAAGGAACCTGTGGTACACTTTGCTATCCGCGGCTTTGTCTGCAGTTGTCCTTCGATTACTGCAGTTTACGGATTGCGAATGGCATCGCAATCCCCACACTTTCTCTCTCTGTTCGCCTTGTCCAAAAATGTGTTTTTGTGCACTCGCAGTAATTCTCTAAAACGGCTTGCTTTGTGACTCGCAGATGGCAGTGAGGTGGTGTTTGTTGTTAGGTATCTCCTTTAAGCCCCCCCCCCCACTCTCCAGGCCAGATCACATTACAAAAAAACATTAACATATGTACGTAGGAATTGTTTTCCATAATAGAGGTGTTTTGGTTTAGGTCACGTGAATATAAAAGTGTCGCTAAACCCGCCACCAACCGACACAGCCAACTAATAAGGTTTGGCACGTCAACAAAGCATACCAATTCGTTACACGTTTAGAACACTCCGGCGCGTTGGTGAGTAAACCTACAACATTTATTATTCGAGTACGACGTTTAGCCGGCAATTGCAACCAGCCTCGACACATTTATGGGATCTAACACAAAAACACCTCTTATGGATAATATTGGTCACGAAAGCCTCGGAATTGTTTTGATGATTTTTTTTGGTACGTTGCACTACTTTTGGTTTTATAATTATTCGTTGAATGATCGACAAACGTTTTCAAATGAATCAATATCCTGAGAAAGTGCCACGCTCCACAATTTCTACACAATTCACCAACGGCGCTCCTGCGTTATGCGGGGTGGGATGGTGAACATTGACAAAGGAAAGTTTCATATTCTTAGGTTTTTTTCGGTAAAGTCACGTAGGTAAAAAATTTAAATTAATACAAGTAAAACAAAAATCACGACGTTTCGGAGGCAACACAAGCTTCCGTCTTCAGGTGGAACCGTCACAGCACGATAGCTGTATCAAGTGAGTCTCACTTGATACACGTGACTTTACCGATAAAACCTAAGAATATGAATCCTTGCAGTCACGAAAGCTTCAAATCTAGAAAGGAAAGTTTGTGCAGCAGAGCCGATATAATTTTTTTTTTAAGATTGACAAATCAGTTTAGTATTTAATCTTTGCTACACGTAACATTCCAATGTTGCCATCGTTTGTCGTGGGAGGGGACAAAGAAAGCATTCTGAGTCTCGGTTTCGGCGTTGTTCACACCTTGTGTCACAGAGCGGCCCCCGGCAGAGGATTACGAACCAACACTTGGTTTTATACAGCACCAATCTTATTAGACCTCGCTTCGCTTTGCGTACATGTACCCAACCCTTAACAAATAACATTGAATAACACCTTTAACAACAACAAAAATCCCTAAACAAACAGTACTGGACGGAATAAAAACGATTTAAAAGACATAAGCTGTGCACGGAGCAGTATGCAAAGTGAAGACGGATGAGTTTTAGAGAAGAGACGTCAAAGACTCAGTCGTCACTTCCGCTGTTTGGGATCGCACTCGTTTACATTGCCTGCACACAGTGTTTCTTTGCATGTCAAATCAATCACAGTGAGTATTTCACTTCCCAGAAATGGCATACGCAGAAATTTTTAAACCCAAATTGAATCTAATAGTGCATCTTCTCATTCTTGCGATATTCTTTGCCACGTGTGGTGACGGGTACTGCAAGATCGGACCACGTCCGTCCAGTGTTCGCCGAGCTGCATTGGCTTCCGTTTCGCCGAACGGACACATTGATGAGGTTGCACTCGTCAGCACACGACGAGCTTGCCACAAAAGAACCACAATACATAGCTGATCTCGTCAAAGAGCATAAACCAGGGGTCGGGAACCTTTTTGACTGGGAGAGCCATAAAAGCCAAATATTTCTAAATATATTTCATTGAGAGCCATATAGTATTTTTAACGTATAATAAATTAAATATGTCTTACTTTTAATGCGACTTCTGGTGCTGCATGGTTTTGCTGATGGCCTTGTCGTCTGGTTCATACGTGGTGAGGTTGAGCTTCATGCAGGCGTGACCCGTGAAATTTATCTTCAAAACTAATTTCTGTTCACTTTAAAATGACACAGTATTATTAAGTAATATCACAAGTATTTTAAAATCAGTTCCAAACAGATTTTTTATTATTATTGTTTCAACTCAAAATTGTCTGGGAGCCATATATGGCTCGCGAGCCATAGGTTCCCGACCGCTGGCATAAACCATCACGCGAACTCCCACCATCCTTGCAGCGGCTTTTGGCTGGCCATCGAACAAAGACAGCCACTGCTTCACCCGCTTTCGGATGCGCTTCTGCGGCCGTCTGGAATGCTCTCTCACGATATTAGGAAGCCACTGGAGCTATGCACTTTTAAACCCAGATTTAAAAGTAATGTATTAATCGTTTTTTATTTAGTTTGTTGTCCTTTCGCCACACCTGTGATTTAGCACGGTTGGCTACGTACGGTGCGAAAGAAGTTCAGCATACATACGTACTTTATTGTGGAGTGCTCATTAAAACCGCTCCATCTGAGAACATCGACTCACTGCAGTTAAGAACCCGGATAAATAATGGGGGAGGATGGCCGGATTTGAAAGCAGGATCTCGGAGGTGCGCTTTCGGTGCTCCGCCACGCACGAGATCACCCAACTCCCACTTGACTATTCGGAGTGCACGTGAATGGGGAGCGCAACTGAAGGGTCGTTCAGATGAATTACGTAGAACAAATACATTGCTAAAACACAAACTCGAGCTCAAGAACTCCAAGTAGCCACTCATCCCTTTCGGGAAGGCCGCTCGCGTAACGAGAAATTATCATTGCGATCATCGCGAGGACGAACCCATATTACTCTTATATGCCGGTAGGAGAATGAGCGATGACTTTACTTAAACGGTTCACAATGGGCTGTACATTAGTGGCATTTGTTTAATCCATTCTCGCCCACTGCAGTGAATGGATGCACGGTCCCGTCTCGTTTGGAACACGCATTAATAAAAACAAACTAACAACTTAAACAAAAAAATTCTCACAATCGAAAGCACAGGTAAAACATCGTACAAATGTCATAGCAAGCGTCGAATGATGAAAACGAAAGGCATTTCTGTTCGTTAATTAAGGCTATGGAGTGCCTTGCAGATGGCAGCACAGCAGGTTGCCTGCTTCCCACTGAGTGTGGACGTTGATTGTGTTAGCCTCGCCACACGTCGCGGGTGTTCACCAGGCACCCTGGTTTCCTCCCACGTGCAATGGCACTCGGACACGGCGTCACGGTTTGCGCATCAGTCTTGCCATCCAGGGGTCGCCGGTTTGGTTCGATCTCCCGGCGCAGCAGTTTGAAAGGGCGGTGCAGGTCTCTTAAAATTCCCACGCATCTGCCCCACCCAGCAGCGATATTAAAAAAAAATTAACCCGTAAAAACAAAGTTTTTCACTTTAAATCCTTTATATGCGTGGCGGCTAGAGTCCTCTCGTCCTCTGGCTTGAGATGGCTGCCACCTATGGGTTAGATGATTGTCTGCCAGCATTAAGCAATTGGTAATTTAACATTTTTTTTCCTAAACAGTGTAAAATTTTGGAAAAAAATATTTCACGAAAATTGTCACGCACAACGAGTCTGTGTGGAAAATGTCAGCTCGATTGGATCACGGGAAGTGTGTTAAAAAACGACCGAAAGATTTGCACGG